AACAGCTGACTCAAATAATATTCGAACATTTCAGCTTCAGTCATGTAATTCTGCTTATAGTACTTTTTTTTATTGACTCAACACACTCGACACTTCACTTGACCTTCATGCTTATTTTGCTCCAGAAAACTAATCAGCAGTAGAACAACTCAAACACAAGAAAAGACATTAATTATTATTTAAGGCGATATTTTAAAATTATCCAACCGACAATCGTCAGTCCAATAAATGACATATTCACTGATATATTCACGCAGGTGACTTTTGGATGGGCAGAGCAACGTAATCATGCACGTTTAGAATTTATAAGATTTGTTTGAATATTTTACCTTCTTTTCTTGTTTGTTTCAGTATTAATATTGCTACTTTTTGGATTATTCATTCATTTATTTATCTGAGATGAGCCAAAGCACACAAAAAACTTAACATTACATCAGAATTTATTTTTAATGTTCGCAGGAAGAGACATTTGGATTTTTAACTTATTTATTGTTTAATTTTGTATTTGTTGTTTGGTCGAGTGTGATAAAATAAACACAGTTATAGTGGTAAAAAGAAGCCAGTTTCTCTTTGTTTCCCTCCCCACCATTGTGGTTTTTTCTGAACACAGGCTGCTGCCTTTCTTTCTTTCTGTTATGAGTTTGAGTCGCTGCATTTGGGCGCTCTCTGAGGAGGGGGCATTTGCTCACAGCTGGAACAGGGTGATGTAAAAACAGCGCTATTATGTTTTCCGTTGACTGCTTCTCTTAGTTTCAACCAACATTATTAGCAAACCAACTCATGGGCAAATAAATAAATAAATCGCTCTTGTAAAAAACGATTGGTGAAAGGCTCAGCCTATAGTCAATATATTCATCCAATTGCCCAACCTTATCAGAGATGCAGCTTACTGTTGAAGAAAGGAGTCAACTGGATGTCTGCATTTATACATTTACAGACAGATTCAAACTAAGTTAAAAAGTCTTAAACAATTTCAACAGAAAATGACAATAAATCGTCTCAAGGACCAAATCTGTATCTGGAGCAGTGATAACCAGGGATGGGTACCGCTATCACCGGTCCTGACATAAACAGTAGTAACCAGACTTAAAAGCAGCGCACATTTCGGTGCTTTTTTTTCCTGAGATGTCACACACTTT